ACAGCACACAGAAACAATAACATAACGAGCCCTGTGGCCGTAGGCCACATTCTGCTACTGTTTGTTCTGCACCGTACTTAAGATCATTTCAATTGATCCCTTTTAAGCACATGGGAGCTATCCCGAAAAATGCTGTTTTGAGAAAATCGAAGGCAACGTTTTTGCCCCTTTTTTCCGTTTCTTTAAAAGACCAGGAAAGTTTTATCGATATCTAAACAAATATTCACCCCAATGAAACCAAACTTCTCCTATAGGTAGGGCAATGCCCACTTTTGGTGTAGGTCAAGATTTCTGGAAACCCCCGAAATCTGGGTTAGCCCGCTTGTCCTTAAAAGCGACCAATTAATTGTGCTTCGGTACCAACCTGCTACGCTTCCTGACGTCCCGTAGAGCTCACTGTTGTCCACAATCACTGCGAACAAAATAATAGAAGTGAATAAACAATGACATACAGAAATCATATAAAGAAATTGATTTCAAATATGAAGTAGTTGAAATGTACAACCTGTCCCCGTGGTTTTATACACCCCGCATAATTTCGCAAAATTTGATCATTTTTTGCACAATTTCTGATTATTTTCCTTTCTCATTCTTTGTTAAAATTAATAGAATCGCATAATTTAACATTTTCGGGCTCAGTTTGCATAATTTCAGAACTTTCTTGCATAAAACGACGGGGACAGTACAACAAGTATTAGCAAGCAACATCTCACTGCACACCAAGATTCGACTCTTTAACTCCAACGTCAAGTCTGTGCTCCTTTACGGCTGCGAAACTTGGAAGCGAACAAAGACAGTACTGAATAAAGTCCAGACTTTGATCATCATTTGGGGTGTCGGTGGCCTAGTGGTTAGGCTCTCGGACTCGCAACTGCAAGGTCGTGGGTTCGAATCCCGTCAGGGACCCGACGGTGTGTCCTTGGGAAAGGCACTTTGCACAAAATTTCCTCACTTATTCAGGTGGAAATGGGCACCCAGCTATAGACAGTGAAAGATCCTGTCAGTTTGATAGTGTTTGAGTGCGTGAAATCCGCAGCTTGCACTGTATGCTTCCGCGGAAGCTGAGAATGTTTCTGAGAGTGTTCTCAGAGGGTCTGCTGAGGTAATAATAGTTGTAAAGCGCATAGAGCAAGCTCATGAGCATGGATATGCGCTATATAAATGCAATCATTATTATTATTATTAACAGTTGTATGAGGACATTCTAAGAATTAAGTGGCAGGATAGAATAAGAAATGAAGAGCTGTGGGAAAGGACAGGGCTAAAGGATATAG